AACCAGTAACCTAATCCGCGGACTTTGGAGCGGCGTACCACACTAGGTCAGGCCTGGTATTGAACCGGACGACAGCAAAGCTACCTATCACCAAAGTCGGGTGGCAGTGGCGGGGCTCAGACTATTGGGTCCAAAGTATGTCGGTGACAGCGACTAAATCATTGCACCACCACCACCACCACGCTGTATGCAACGTCGATGCTAACCCGCACTTTTGCTCGTTGATCAGGACCATGTAGCGGGTCTGAATGAATATCCAGGCGGGGAAGTTGTTCGTTTGAGAAGTTTGAGGCTAGAAGAGTTGGAAGGGTCAAAGGGTGAAATCAAAACAATTGTAAGGATCCATACATTGAGACAACCCCGCTGTCGTCGGGCTCAGTACGCCTATCCTACCGCGGCCTTATATGATTCGCTCATTCCAGTTCCACGGCTGGAGTTTTGCGGTCACCACAACCAAGCCGTCAGTGTTCATAACAGCGGGGTTTACTTTTACTGTGAAACTACGGTATGATCCGGATGATGTCTAACACATCTGTTCGAATGTATGGCACAGTTGCCAGACTGCCAAGTTCTGGTGTTGCACATCTTCAAGATGCCGAATTCAGATACAATTAGTCCAATCTCTCATTTTTTTTTATCATGAAGTTGTATCGTCATGGCATGACTTATGGCGGTCGCTAAAGGCTGCTATGTGTGTGTGCATAAAGAACAGACTGCATGGTCAACTTCCATGCAGAATCTATCACTCGTTTCTCGCGTCGAGAAATTTTTACTGCTTTTAGCTTCCAGCCGACAACAAATTTTCAAAGTGCACAATTATATTCAATGCGTTCCTCCCGGGGTTTCCACATACACACACACACACACACGCAAATATTCTGTCCAGTCACCTACTTGTTCCCCCCCTCCCCCCGATTTACACATTTGTAGGGTACATGCACCGTTCTTTTTGTCATATATTTTGGTGTGAATGTTATCGCCTTCTTCCAAACCGCAAATATCGTTTAATTAGTCCAGCTTTTAGATTTTAAGACATTTGTCTGACGACGCTACGCATCGATCAGAGTCCTATTCGGAAACACGCAGAGACAACACAGACGACACGTCCAACAAAGTCTGATGTATAAACAGTGGGTTCAAGCGTTCGATCACGTTGATTCAGTGACATGCACCCAAACTGGAACAGTACTGGATTGTGAAGTTTATGAGGTTCTTCTTGCTTACTAACTTTGCTGCATCTGGCTCCTTGGAAAGGATAAACTGGTTCCAGACATGATCATGAGGGCGCACCTCTACCCGTTGCACAACCAAGTGCAAACTGCAAGGCAGCAGGAACCAATTACTTGCCCCCGGAAGTGAGGAGGTTAATGACTTTAGTTTTAAAAGGCCAATCACATTAACCTTTGTCCGGACACCGTCATTGGACTTATGCGGCTTTTTATTAAACAGGATTCAGGTGATCAGCCTGTAACCCACCACACCCTGGTAGTAGTGCCGCCATTGTTTGTTCGCGACTGCCTATTTGTTGTGATATGCCACACAACTTATTCACAGTTAATCTCTTTTTCGGTGAATGTATCCTCCTATCCACAACCCTGGGATGCGCCTGGTGGCACTCAGCTCTGCTTAACCCCCGGGGGTATCCAGGTTAAAATTCTGGAACATACAAACAGACGAAACTGCCAAATGGGTTATGGATGTCAATTTTTGTGCCAATCAGCCTTATCTCTCAGTGTCTCTCTCTCTCTCTCTAATCTATGATCAGATTGGCCACGAGGTCCCCGGCGAGGAAGCCTAACACAAGCTAACCTTATCGCAGGTCACATGGTCCATCGACACACAGGACATAACCTGATTTTCGTCTACCTCCGAGTGAAACAAAGTTACTAGTGATTTACATGGCGCATTATTTATCTCGACAATTCCGATGAGGCTATCGAATCAAGGTGTGAAACCCATCATAGATACTGGTATCATGTTGCTTATGTAGTGTCTAATACAAAGCTTACAAGCTTGCTCTGGGTTCCCCTTTAATATTGCAATATCAGCTGCTCATTATAAATCAGATAGGATTCTTACTGAAACAAATCAGTATATCTCTCTTTTACACACTCCGCTCGAAGTTATATTTATCCCTGCTGGTGGTTGCGCGGTGGTTTAGTCGCTGTCACCGACGTGCTTTGAACTCCATGGTTCGAGGTTCGAGCCCCACCCCAACTGCCACCCAACTTTGGTGGTGCAGGCAGCTTTGCTGTTGTCCGGTTCAATACCCCACGCCTAACCTAGCACGGGGCCTTATGTGGTTCACCACTCCAAGTCCCGGGACTTGGATTCCGGGTTTCTGTGGCTGTACAACAGGTTCCCGTGACCATGGGATTCACTCCGTCTGCTGTTCATCACTCCAATAGGTGTGTGATAAAAAATCTCATCGAGAAAATATGATTAAGTCGATTCCGAAAAATGCTTTTCGAAACAAATTGTGGAGTTGAAAAGTAATTGTATACATCAAATCGTCCTCTTCAATGCGTGTACAACAATGAAATAATAAAATTTAAAGTATCATTTAATGAGGGGTACCACCGAAGAACCCTCCAACAGTTGCTTATCGTAGTCCGACGATCATTGTTTTCTTAGACACTCGTGTGGCTTTCCACACCATCGATAGGACTGTACTATCCGAATGTTTGTTTAGAACTGGAGTACCTGGGAAGTATGAATCGATCTTCAATGGGTTGAATCTACATACATCAGGTCGGGTTAGAGCCCATGGCCAACTTTCGCCACCCTTTACCGTATCCAGTGCAGGGCGATAAGATTGTCAGACATTCCCATTCCTGTTCAGCTTTTTACTGTCGCGGATGTTCTGAAAATCGCTTTATCCGATCAAGCAAACAGTTAAGTTGAACTCCTCCCATAGACCAGGACTCTTGACATCGGTTTGTTGGAAAACAGTGTTCAGGCAATCCAATATTCCAGACATGGCATGTGCCGTGCACCATCCAAGTGCTTGTATACGGCTTGCAAAAGCCTATACCTGCTCTCTCCCCCCCCCACCCACCCTCCCTGTTGTGTTGATCAGCTGGAAACAGTGGAAAGCTTTAAGTACTCCGGAGAGGGAACACATTACGAATTGCGAAAGATACAGCAGCTTTTGCCAACCTGCGACACCTGTGGTGTTGTCATGACATCCGACTCTCTCTCTCTCTCTGTTAGGGGAAGAGTGTACATCGTTGCGGTTCGTAGTCTTTAGCAGTACGGTTGCAAAAGAATCTATCACATTTTTAGTAAATTGGTCAAAAAAAATTTGTGCTTGTTTGTCTGACCCGGACTACATCTGTTACTCATTCGGACCAAATAACAGATTTTCGTCTGTTGCAAGTGCTGTGAAACGATTTTCCTGGGGCTTTTTTTCAACACGGAGGGAAAATTATTGCTTTGTGATTCAAGTAAAAGATCTACGGTTTAAAACACTATTTCTCCGTCACACACGTTTGAATATCGAGAGGTCAGAAACATGTGTACACACGTGCACGTACTACAGTCTACAGGTGTTGACCAACTTCGTGCAATATCAATTTGAATTTGAAAAATCCATTTCAGTTTTCAATATTATACTTATATATTGCTAATTATGAGTAAAGTGTATCTATTCCTGATTATATCTTCAATATCTATGTTCCAAGTTCTTCTCTATCACCGTTTGAATTTTGCGCGACCTTGAGTCTCGCGATAAAATGTACGGCTCGGATTTGGAAAATATGTTGTGCAAAACATTATGGAGATTCATTTGTTCTAATGAATTATTTCTATTTTGTTAGAGTGATTATCAAACCGAACACACTCATTTCAAAGTTGATGGTTTTAATTCAGTATATGATAAATAAACCAATTGATGAAACTATTCTAGCTTTAATCAACTGATAAATTACTTGACTACCAACTACTCACGTACAATCCCCAATGCCGAAACAACGAAGAATCTATTCCTAGAAACACACAAGTTGACCTTGAGATGTGCGGCTCATTGAATAAGCGTCTTTTAGTATCCCCATGCCCAAACCAGATGTGAAACAAGCAAGAGATTTTGGCTTATAGTTGAAGCCGAGAGGCAACTTAAGCGAGAGGCACACAAAGATGATGACTCAGTTCTTAACTAGTGCAAGTGCTTCGATGTGAACATAAGCCCAATCAATGTATTGCACAATCAACGAAATTTCTCCATTAAGGGATAAACCGACAGTGGGGAAAAACAATCAAGACGATAGATAAATTTGATTGTAGCGGTAAAAGCTTGCATACAACGAATATGAATAATAGTTCAGACGGAATATGGACGAGGTAAAAGTACAATACCTGTATGAATTCTATGCGTCATTTTGATAAATATAACTTCTAGTTGTGTTTTTTACTGTTTTTTTTAAATTTACAACTGATGCGCTAGCAATCATCGTCAAAATCGATAAATCGTAGCCAACAGAATCAAAGACTCGGGTGGATATTATTACGCATATGTTGCGTCTGATGTAGGGCAATATCATATTCGAATCTTGTGGATGAGGCTGGAAAGACTAAGTGTTGAGAGTAACTGACTGTGATGAAAGTGTCAGGGTGTTGCGCGAGTTTTTGTTCAGTCCTTGTAGATGACCGTAAAAATCAGCTTAATGGCAGTATGTACGTGTGTACAGATACAGTGAAACGATCATGTAGAGATTGTGCATAACTAGATCTATGATTACTATACAACTCCAACTGCTATCCACATTCATTCTAGATAGCTTTATTCTGTATACTTTCGTTTCGCTCCCATCATCCTCGTCTCCAAGACGTCATCTGTGAGATTTTGTTGTACATAAACCGAAGTAAAGTTATTATTATTATTGTAAAACTATACGCCAAAAACACACGGCAACCTATCTGTTTGCGTTCCTTTCCCATCTCCGCTTCCCGGCCATTTGGATCACTCGCCATTCATTGATGGTTGACTGACAGTAAAATCCTCGATGGATCGACCACGAATCACATGCGAATTACCCCAGAATGCATTCTATCCATATCAGCTGATAAATTGGGAGGAGGACATTATCTACGATCCACAGCTGAGTGCGAACAAAATCAGTGCTAGTTCGAAAATGAATGCCGCCTATGCTGGATGGATACCGTCACAGCATTGTCGCACAATGGCTGCTTTTCAGGTGAGTGCGGGATTGTTGACAACGCTTCCTATCTGTCTTTTTGTCTGTTTGTCTGTCTGTCTGTCTGTGTGTTCGTTTTGTCCGAGTGATAATGTCCATTTTGGTTGGAGCATTTTTTTTGCGTAAAACTGCTCGAAAATAATGGGAATCGTTTTGGGGTGATTTTTGCGAGTAGAGTTAATAGATCAGATTATCTCGTGCATAGGAAATGAGTCGGCTAACTGACTGTATTATGCGAGGTGCTGCTACTTTTTAGAGTCGAGTTGTGGTTGGTTTGTCTTGACTTAGTTACCGTGACTTCCTCAAAACAGCTCCGGTTTTCAGACGAGTGTCTTTGATAGTCTATATCCACGTGTTTCTATCACAAATATCAACATCTCTATCAAGCGATTCACCAGGGAATGATGTCTTTTTTGCATATCTAGAGAAATAAAATAGACTTTTATTTATTACACATCTAAGTGTGATGAGCAACAGACAGGGCGAACCCCATAGTCACGAGGATCTGCTGTTCAGTGGTGGAAACCGGTAACCTAAGTCCCGAGACGTGAAGTGGCGAATCACATAAGGCCCCTTTAGGTTAAGCATGATATTGGAGTAAACTAGGTAAGACTGATCTCCCTATGTTTGGTGGAAAGATCGACCGGGAACATTTATGCGTCTACTTTGTTCTGGGTCTCTTTACTCGTTAAGGGTTGTTCGTGAGATCGAACACATCGCTGCATAACTGGTACTAAATCGCATCACCTGACCAATCATCATGGTTTTCACACGTTTGCCAACTGTTCTGTTTTCAAATATACCATCAGTTCAGTTCAATTTGAACAACCGTCAACCACGCATATTCGTGCGCCGGTTTTGGTTGCTGTCTTTTGGCTGCCCATTCGGATGAAGAATAGGAGACGAAAGGAAAGTTGAAAGTGGAGTCGAACAGAAAATGGAGAAGTTCAGTGGTCTGCTAGTTTGCTCTGGGAAATGCGGTTCTCTTATTTCTTTCTTTATTCACTCAATTCTATTGACAGGATGCTTATCAAGGCAAATTTCCGTACATCGTGGGTTCCAAAGCATTGGGCGGATTGAATGCAGCGAATGCCGTGATGGAACACTTGTTGAACGGACCGAATAAAACCGCCATCCCGAACAATCCACCATATTCAATCTTTCCAGTTGAAAACGCAGGAATTTTATCTGATTCCTGGATCTACGATATCATATATGACTCGGATTTACCGATCAGCCAATTGCCACCTCCATTTCTCCTGACACTGGATGGAAACGACGAGACGTGTTTGATGGACTCGGTGGATGATGCGGAAATCGCAGCCGCAATCAATGCAGCACGCGGACAGCGTCAACGACAACTCACAACACGAGGTGGAGATAGCGCAGCGGATGGAAATGTCACCAACGCGAATGCAAGCAGTTTGAATAATCGTGGTGCTGATTCGCGACTGGATGCGCTCAATCCTGGCGACAATACCTGGTCTCAATATGGTATTCCGATCAACGATGCGTCCAATACGAGCACATCGAAATCAAACGCCCCAATCAATCGGGCCAGTCTACAAGTCAGTTTTGGATTGGCTTCGACCAGGGGCATGTTAACTGGAGCACTTGCGAAAGCGGAACATGGCGCAGAAAAAGTGAAAATGATCTTGGGCAAAGTAAGTGATTTGCGCTTCGCACCGCCTTATATGACGATTATTATTTTACGATTTTTCAAGTTGTCTACTGATGAGTAGTAAAATTCATAACTGAAATATTAATCCGAATGAAATCCTATTTCCCCCGCGTTTATCAAACCCCTATAGTCGTCCACAGCTGTTGCTGTTTGTTGCTCAATGAGGAGAATGTTGTTCTCAAACATTAGGAGAGGTTGATTAGATGACCAGGGTTGTTTTTCACTCACTCTGCTCACATTGGATTACTCTATTCCGGGACCGTTACCTATGTCACGTTCACATTGCGCTTTTAATTCACCATCGAATAAAAGGATAAAAATTGCGCTGGAATTTTTTTCACCAATTGATTGAGGATGTGATTATTCTATTCGTAACTGATCCCTTCCCTGTAATACTTCGTCGTACATATCTTTCATGTACAAATTGTTTTAGCGTTCAAGCCGGAGTCCCGCTGGAAGTGCTATCAAGCAGGGCTTCAACTTACGTTGCATCTCATTCAGTTACTTAAAAAACTGACCTAAATACTTTATTCACGTGGAATGGCTTGAAGATTCTCCCGCCATGTTCTATCGAATCTTTTTCTTATCACGTCAACTTTCAACGTATTTGTAATTCTAGGTCAGGCCTGATGATATGTATCTTTATGGGCAGAATTTTAGTGACGTTAAGGACGCTACTGGAACCAAAATCTCAGGACAGTTCGTGATCACTATGGTGCTGGTTTATTCTCCAAGGAGCCAGCCTCAGTAAAGTAAATTATAGAAATGATTGGACTGTACTTCATATTTGTATTTAATACGCGTCTGAATCCAGACCGTGTGTCATACAAATCACGGTACAATAATCTTTAAAAAAAGCAAAAAGTCCATGTGTTGTTCAAGGGCGCGATACTGCTGCTAGGTTGTTCAGGCCAAGGCAGGTCAATGTTCTTGAGGAATCCACAACCGGAGCTTTTGGCTAGCCGAAGCCTGACCCACAAGGTAGTGGGTCGGTATGTGAAAACCGCAGTCCATTGGGAGCCGGTGTCCAGTTCATCGGATCGTACGCCCTTCGGACGGGGTCAGACGTCCAAGGTGCTCAGTACACCTCCATGCTCAATCGCGTCAGTGACCACCGTCACAACCAGGGAGGTGTTAGTGTATGGTTTGTACGCCTCTTCTGAGTTTGTTTGAAATCAGGGTTCTTGGCCAACTGTTCTAGGCTAACTGTCAGTCGCTCACCAATCCGGTTATAGTCTCAGATGTTAGCTTTTCGTCCGTTCAATTTGGTGTGGGAAAACGCCTCCGGCACGGAGAGGTAGTGAGTTGTGCTTCCTCAGCAGGAGCTTTTTGAGACGTTTGGTCGTATGGGAGCATTTCGTGAGGCACAAGTGTGTGTGTGACCCGTCTCGGACCACGCTGAGGCATTCGGAATCATCATCATGACTTCTCAATGTTGTTTTTCATCAAATAGTTTTCAGATGTAGATGAGAATATTTTTGCCTAATTCTGTAACTCTTTCAAAATTCGTCGAAAATGACTCTTCTTTTATCTGCAACCTGAATACATGCCCGGTGGCGTACATCTCCACTGGCTATTCATTGTCACACTAATTTGTCAAAGTGCATATTTTCCTCTTGGTGGTTAGAAACACAGTGTTGTCTGAATGGTTTCGATTTAACTCATTCCAGCAAAACCTTTTTTGGTTTTTTCAACCGTCTTATTCATTCTCATGGAGTCCAATTTTGCCCAGTCTATAAGTGGTATTAAAAACAACTCAATTTATCTCATTTTTTCGCGTTGGACTTTGCATGGCCATAATGAACTGGTTGAAGCCCGTGGTTAAAGGGACCTACCGAGTGGAAGCATTGACACTGGTTACTCAGTAGGAAATCTGTTGTTCTTGAGTTGATTACAACTCCCTCAAAATATCGTATAAGCAGAGAAAAATAAATGGTAAAAATGTCCCCAGGAGCTGGGATAGCACACACAGACACACACACACCTCGGCGGATAATTCTTCATTCTGTCGATCGAAATAAAATCACTCATCATCATCATCATCATCACCATCGTCCTCATCGCACACCGAAATACAGAGAAGCGAACTCCACTGATGAACAAGGCAGCGGGTGAAGCGAAGTGGAGGCCCATTTACTTGAATCACTCCACTGAAACGCCAAATCTAGTCGAATCTCCAACCTGGAGGACCAGGAGACGACTTCTTCCGATCTATACCCTTCAACCTTCCCGGCATGATTAGATATGCGGCTTGACAAAAGTTATCCTGTGTAGCTCATTGGATCAGAGAGGTACAAAAACCATGATACCACGTCGAGGTGGGCAGTGGCACCCTTACTCACACATTCTTGTTCCCGCGTGTTACACAGCTCCGTGGGTGATTAACATCGCTTACGTTGCATTGATCCACCTTTAGTCTTTGGACTAGCGATATGGCTAGGTGTCGCAAATAGTGGCCCCTCATGCATCTACTCATTATTTTTGTAACTTCAGTCGATAAAAATGTGCTACGTTTCGCTTAAATCTGCTCTCAGCATTCTAATAATCATTCTGCTATTTTATCCAAATGGGCAACCAAAACCGGTGCACGAAAGTGTATAATTAATGGTTGTAAGAACTGAAGTTTTTGGATTCGATGAACCAAATTGCCAATGGAATTGGTTAAATAAAACTCACTGGGGGCTCTTGGTCTATCACTATCCCTATCCACCCGCAAGTTTGATTACACGTGGTGAAATGCAATTTAATCTGGTGCATTTTTCTCTATATACGATGTAATTATCTGTGATAACCGATGAAGAGGATTGCACAGCGTTTTCCTCCTATTTGGGACCGTTGGGATTCGAACCGCAAACCTTTGGATCGCGAGTTAAGACCCTAACCCCACCATCTTGTATGAATGGCTCAATCAATCAATGTTTAGCGTATCATGTTTAGATTAGCCCATTCGATGCTAAGACCTGGCACGAGGGTATGAAAACCCTAACCAGGATACTGGGTCACATAGGTCCTGTTAGGTTCCCTGGCTGGGGACCTCGGGTTCAGGAATCTCCTCAATTTCTTTGCGACCTGAGACCACTGAACTTCTCCATCTTCTTTTCGACTCCACTCTCAACTTTCCTTTCTTCTCCTATTCTTCATCCGAATGGGCAGCCAAAAGACAACAACCAAAACCGGCGCACGAATATGCGTGGTCAGTGGTTGTACAAACTGAAACTGAAAGCCCATTCGATTGTTCACAAGCCCAAGACACCGCTGATGGTCTTTGGGTGTGGATTTCATTCTTCTGGAGATTGTTAGTTCCCCACCAGTGGACTATAACTGCATTTATATGCGATGATGTCTGTGAACAATCGAATGGGTTAACATCAACATGATAGTTTTGAAATGACTTATTTTTCCTCAAACATTTCTGTTGAATTTCAACAAATCTCACTCATTTTCTCCACTAATGAGGAGATTTTACTCTGCATAAAATGTTTGCGTATTTTATTCGCATTATACCGATTTTTAAATCCATGTGTACTATGCTCTTTCGCCTGTCAAGCATGGTCTCCTCGCAGAGGATGATTGGCAAGCGGACCAGGACAAGTTTGCCGTTACCGATGTGAACAACACCTCTCTCATGGCAGATTCACACGGCGATCTTCCAGGCACGGATGGGAACGCGTTAGCCTCGGCCGCAGCAGCGGTTTCGGGGATCCCACCAAAAGATCCGTTGAATTTATCCAATGATGAGTACTATTCAATTCGAAGTGGTGCCCTTGGCGTGTGCGGTGGCCTAGCACGATGCGGTCCTTTACAGCACAGCACACCGGCTGTCGAGTTGTGGCCTCCGTTCTTCCCCACCTATATGAGTTCGCTTCGATTGCGTCAATTCCATCGGGTCCCACTGAAACGGTGAGTTCGATTTGCCGATTTTGGCCGCAAACACCATTGAAACCATTGCCCACCTTTTCGAATTACATTCAGAATGTTATGATTGGCATCTGTAGCGCGTGAATGATATCAGCGTTCTTCCGATTGATCATGTAACTTAGTGTACGACCTGCACAATGTATGTGTGTGTGTATCTGTGCGTTGTCACTGTATGCATCTCAACCTTTGTCCGTTCTAGTAGTTAAAGATTCCAGTTGCTTTGATACACACTTTCTTTGCAAAATTGTCTGTTTCTGGCTAGGGCAACACATCAGTAATGGTCAGATGGGACAATACGGATTAGCTCCTCCTCCTGCTCCAGCCCCACTCCCCTGTTGCACTTGGTGGTGCTTCGGATACCTGTTCAGAGTAGCCGGTCAGCAATGGCCACCACACGGTCTACGCGTACTCGCTAAGCACCGTTAGATGCATGCCATGGGACTGAGTAACCGAGAGAGAGAGAGAGAAACATGATTCGTACAGACAGAGTGACGCAGTTGTTCTACCTATGTGTTTCTTTCATTGTAAACGAAGGTGTAAATAGCGTCCATGGATCAATCCGTTTTTCAATGTCGATCAGGTAGGTGTTGCAGGATGGAGCTGTGCAATTTTCTCGGAGCAACCGGACAGGGTTCAGTTATTCCCACTGATCATGATAGCTCCAACCCAAAAGCCCGATAAAAAGACTCAATGGAATGACAGATCACCAACTGGTAGGTGACTAACCGATCACAGGACAGGACAGTACTATCGTTATGCCTGTTCGAAATTCACGTACATTGGGTCCACCATTCTGTTCAATGAACAAGCCCAAGGTGATGTAAAGTGGCGCATCCACACGACCCGAATGGCGTTTCTGCAGCTTCCAACTACCCTGTGGCATCGGACCAGATCAGTCTCAAAACCAAGCTCAGGGTGTTTGCCACGGCAGTCCGACCAGTCCTACCATACGACTGCGAAACCTGAGCGTTGAGAGCTGAGGAAATCAAACGATTGGAGATCTTCAATCACTGGTGTCTTAGAACCATCCGGAAATTAAACTAGAGGGAGAGAGGCCCAAACTTGGCCCTCAGAAATCGCTGCCGCGTTGCCCGTCTCTCAACGTACATTCAACACCGCCGATTACAATGGTTGGACCATGTTCGCCGCAGACTCGACGACACATTTACGAGTATTGTCTTGGCACGGCCACCTTGCCCTAGCTGGCAAGTAAAAACCTGACTGGACACTGTATTCGAAGACGTCGACCAACTTGGCCGTCGGATGGTGCACGGCACTCGCCGATGGAAAAACCAACTGGATGGACATTTGCAGGGATCTTGCAGACAAACGCCAAGCATGAGCGGCGGAGGCGGCAATCGGAGACATTCGTGGAGTCGGCTTGTTCTCTCGAAGGAGCCAGCATTAGTAAAGTAAAGCAAAGTAAAGTAAAGTAAGTAAGAAGCAACACAGTTAGCGTGACTATTGTGATCAGGTGAATATATATATATATATATATACATATATATATATATATACATATATATATATATATATTCACACACGTATGAGGCCAGACTTTGTGCCAAACAAATCGTGGTAGAATAATGTTAATAAAAGGAAGAGCCATCCATGATTTGCATGTGGGTGGAATACTACCAGGTTGCCTAGGCCAAGGCAGGTCAATTTTCTTGAGGAATCCACAACCGAAGCCTTTGGTTAGCCAAAGCCTGACCCGTAAGGCAGCGGGGTGGTGTGCGAAAACTGCAATCCATTGACAGTCGGTGTCCAGTTCATCGGATCGTACGCCTTTCGGACGGGGTCAGACATCCAAGGTGCCCAGTATACCTCCATGCCCAATTGAATCGGTGGTCATTGCCGCAACCAGGCAGTTGTGTGTGTGGTTTGTACGCTTCTTCTTGGTTAGTTTGGAATCCGGGTTTTTAGCCAACCCCCTTAGGTGAACTGCTCTCACTTTGGTGGGAAACACCTCCGCCTCGAGAATGCAGTGATGAGGGCTCCCTCAGCATAGGCTATTTGAGACGCTCTGTCGTATGGGAACATTTGGCTAAGTGTAAGGAAATGGTGACCAGTCTCAATGCGAGACCCAATTACTCTGACCATACTGAGGCTTTCGAAGGCATAGAAAGTAAGTTAGAATGTTTACGGAGGATAGGGATTGGGCCTATTTATCGGAACGGGAAAAGAAAGGAAGCATCTATGGTCAACCTCAAGAGCACACAGTCCAAGTGTGCACACACACGGTCTCGAGCATTCTGGTCTGGCAACAAGTGATAGCAGAGTAGCCAATTCTGTCGGTTTGCTACCATGACTCAGCGTCTCCCACCTTCCAATTACAGATTCCTTTAACCCCCCCCCCTCAACTTGAAGGACGAGAAACCTACTCTGCCTAATCTCCTTGTGCATTTCTTCATGCCTCGTCTCCGTGTCATGTGGTGGCCCTCACGTGGCTTTTTCCATCCTGTAGGGCCTACTACAAATAAGGTACGATGAGGTAGGCGAACGTTAGATATACGCAAAACGTGCCCTAACCAACGGAGCCTATTGAGCTGAATTCCATACACTAGCTAATTCGTGTTCGCTGCATTCCCAAACACACGATGACTTACTTCTGTGTTCCTAACCTGCTCACTCTATCCCACTTTGGCATTGGTTGTCAAGAGTCACCAGGCTACGGATATCTTCTACTCGCACATTGATGGTCTGGGCCACACCCAGTCTTGCATCATCACTTTGCACTTTGAAGTTGTCGCTTTGGCTTTACAATTCGTCTTTCATTCTTACTCGTACTACTGGGTTTTTCTTCCTTTATTCGTTCATCGCTCCGCTGCTAAGCTCAAACTGCATGCAAAGTAATTGAGAATGTGTATGGTGTTTTTTTGAGTGGGGGGGGGGGGGGGGGGGGGGGNTTTGACAGAGGGGAAAGAAAGAAAGTGAACCTGTACGGTTAACTCACGTTAGCTGTACATACGCGCACAAACAGTCTGGTTTGATGGGAAGTGACATCTATAACACCATTGTTATCAGCCTACTGCCATTGTCTCCAGCCAGTTAGTCAGGGAATCTGTTGAACTGAATCTGGAATACGAGAGTTATCTATTCGGCCTAATCGTACTGTGCATTTTATCCTGTCCCTTATCCGTATTCGTACTTTTCTCCATCCTGAAGTAGTAACCGAGAATGAGGCTCGATGCAGTAGACGATAGTTGGATCTTAACAATGCGTGATCTAACCCACAAAATCTACTAATGGGAATTCAACGTGAAAATCGAGTTGTCACCGAATACTTGACCCCTTTCCTCGAGATTGTTAACTAGCTGACTCCATCCTACATGCGACAAATCAGATAAACTTGAACAGTTAAAAATGTTCTGTTGTAATATTCGGATAACAACCGGACCGGACTTGTCTGAACGCCGTGAAAAGGGAATAAACGATAGGACTGACCACGAGCAGGAACCTTAACGACCCAGTGACTGAATGAACACAACACGAGTACGCCTGATTGCGATACCCAACGCAATTCTCAAGAGAACCGAAAGAACAGTCCTGAGAGAGCAGTACTGTCCCGGAACCCGACTAGAGAGACAAGACAGCAGACAGAGAATCAGGCGAGGTTGTGTATTGGGCTCGCCAAAGGGCGATTGCTGTGGACAACTCATCTGTTTATATATGTACAGTTTGGGGACTGACTACCAATGACCTTGAAAATTAGCTTGAACATACAGAGTTATGAAAGAATGGACCAATCGGGATCGGCTATGGCCGATTTTATAAAAATTTTATAAAAATAATTAAGAAAACAAATGGGAAATAGTCACTTTTATATCGGGGAAATAATCTTGTTCCTATCACTTTTTTACCACATAAAACAGAACTGAACGCACGATGGCGTATTATGCACGACTTTTCAATTCAAAAGACACGTCACGTCGATATCTCAAGTGTTTTACTGTTTACCGTCCGAGCTCCGCACTACCATCATTTATCATGCAACTATGTGAGTAGCAGAAACCATCGACCAGGTATCGGACCTGGGATAGATACTATCCTATCTTGAAGCATCACTTTGCATTTTGAAGGTGTAAAGCCTGTACTGAACAGAGTCACAAAACTTGCTAATTGTCTGTTTCATTCGCAAAAAGACACCGTATCTTGCAATGCTTTTAGCTTTCTCTTTGTTCCCTGTTTTGCTTGGTGCACACAGTCTGAAACTCTCTCTCTGTGTGTGTGTGTGTGTGTGTGTGTGTGTGTGTGTGTGTGTGTGTGTGTGTGATACAGGTAAATGTTTTTACATCAGTAGTAGTTCGGTTTTCTGTTTTGGAGATGCACCGTTTTGATATATGTTTGGGAATTATGAACTTTGGGTGCGCAAAACCTATCTTTCTGTCACTGGCTGACTACGGTAAACCGTAAGTAACACTTTACGCTACTGAACGTGTTCTACCAGTACTAAGCCATGCAATGTAGCGAGAAAGATTTGTGTTCTGCTATTAGTCCTCTTCGGCTAATACATCAGAGTTCGTTGACTATTCCCATCGTGACATTAAAAAAACACTGTAGCTTTGGATAACTTCCTCCTCGGGGTAATACAGTTATATATAGGGTTCAAAATTGTCAAATTAGTGTAGCGGTTATGTAGGAAGAAGGATCAGGCAATTGTCTCAAATAATCAAGGAACACAAACCGGCCTGGCTGAGTACGGGTATAAGGAAAACAATTACAGGTGCGGTGGCAGAACACCTTGCAGACACGGGTCATCAAGCAAATGATTACGCGTTCAAGGTGACCTACAAAATACCAGCAAACTCACCAGAAACTGTTCGTCAACGACACCTTGCTAAACCCGAGGCGGTGGCTATTCGCCTACTCAATCCGTCCCTTTGTTCTCAAAAATGATTCGTCCCGTCACTTCGTTTACCCTGACCTCAAACTGACACAGCTGACCGAGACGACCGTGACCTTCGGCATGATCCATGTGCGCAAACCGGAAATGGAACAGCTCACTCTATCCACCGACTGAACATTTCCAAACCACACATCACAAGATCACAATCAACCGATCATTTTTTCATAATATATAACCATTGCACAAATTTGATAATTTTGAACCCCATATATAACTGTGTATTAGCCCAAAGAGGAAGTTATCGACGACAAACTTTGTTCGCTACAGTGTTTTCTTAGCATCAGGATTCATTTAATTTGAGTAAAAGAGGGAACGTCAATCAGCTGTTGAACTTCGGTATTGCATATTGAAAAGCTATTTGTTGTGGGTTCTCACCGTTGCCTTGTTCTGATGTGCAAAAATTTCGCAGAACTATATACATATATATATATATATATATATATATATATATGTGTGTGTGTGTGTGTGTGTGTGTGTGTGTGTGTGTATGTGTATGCACAATACCCGTTTGAGTTCGGCACTTAACCTGTTCTTCTTTTGATTTCTCGATTGATTTTCCTGTTTGTCCAGCTATCTTCGCGGTCCAATGGCCCAATATAACGTCCCGTTTCCCGTCACCAATCTGATTCGGCATATTCAAAAGAAATCACGTGAACGAGAAGAGGAAAAATCCGCGACCGGTGGTGGTGAGATATTTTTCATGCGTACACCAAGCGATCTATCCGGCACGGATGGGGATGTGATTCTGTGCGAATTTAGCGAGGAATTTCCACCGCTGATGACACAAGTGCGTTTGTTCTTCCCCCAATGTGTATGCTTTCATTTCTTGTTTCTATCGCCAACTTACTTGTCAGAAGATTTCGGAATTTGGAAGCGATTTGTTGTCTATTTATTGTGAAATCAGCTGATCGAATGTTTTCTGCGCCGGACTGTGTGAGAAACGGAATCAGACGGATGAAGTCGCTTACGGTCACATCCCCACAGTGCATGTGTTCACACCCGCAAAGTGAACATAATTTGTGTATCCTGATACCGGTTCACTCTAGGGGAAGAGGGACAGTACAAGTGGAGTTCGGCAAGGCTGCCCTATATCCCCATTCCTTTTCAACTTCGCCATAGAGGATGTCCTATGGAATGCTTTGTCCGGTCTAGCAAACGACGGAGTTGAACTCCTCCCAGGACACAGAGTCCTTGACTTAGAACATGCCGATGACATCACCTTGTTGGATGAAAACACAGACAGTCCAAGGCGCTTTGAACCGCCTGGCGATGGAGGTATCCAGATATGGTATGTGTTTTGCACCTTCCAAGTGCCAAGTGCTTGTTCAAAACTGGCAGGAGCCTATGCCTGCACTCACCCTCTGTGGTGATCAGCTAGAAGTAGTTGAGAGCTTTAAGTACCTCGGGAGCTAGAGCAGCTTTCGCCAACCTGCGACACCCATGGCGCAGCCATGACATCCGGCTGTTCCTTAAGGGTAGGGTGTACATCGCTGCGGTTCATAGCGTTCTCCTTTACGGTTGCGAGACCTGGCCTCTCCTAGCGGAGGATGCTAATCGACTTTCTGTATTTGACCACCGATGTCTCCGAAGCATTGCTCGTGTCTGGTGGGAACATCGGGTGAGCAATGACGAGGTTCGTCGTCGTGTGCTGGGTGCGGATAGTCGTTCTCGAACGGAAGTAATCGCTCTACATTGCCTCCGATGGCTTGGTCACGTATTGCGTATGCCTGCCCATCGACTACCTTTCCGTGCTGTCTTCGCACATACCGGACAAGGCTGAAAGAAGCGGCGCGGCGGTCAGAACATGACATGGCGTAGAGGTATACAGAAGTTGGTTTCAGCTTTGGCTTCGGTTAGTGCAGCCCGCCTTCCAGGTTGGGGCCCAAGGAATGAGGATTGTCGTTGGTTAGAGACGTTGAGAGATATGGCGCAGAATCGAAATCAGTGGCGCGAATGCTGCACGGTCCGCCTGTCAAAATCCGGTGCCCCGTGAAAAACAACAGACAACACAAACAATATCAAAAGTGTACGGTGGAACACACCAAAACATTTTGTTATTCCAGTCATCTTCCAATCTCCCATGTTAACACCATTCTTGTCTACAAGCCGGTTATATATATATATATATATAAAATAATAAAAAATAGAATAAAATAAAATAAATATAAAATATATCAATATAAATATTACGTTGTTCTTCAAATGTTCAATGGAACTATACAAATCTGGATACTCGGAAACATGAATTCTGAAATAGACTTGTGTAGCCGACTACTTTTTCAGTCTCATTTGAAACAATCATGATCAATACATTACACTTTTGTGCGCCGCTTCCTGTTCCGGTTTTTCGGCTGACCATTTGAGTGAAGAAGTTGAAGGAAGATAGGTACAATTAGAACAGAATTCCGATTGAATAGATAGATGCACGAACACCACTCAGTTTCAGTTTGTACAACCACTGCCCACGCATATTCGTGCGCCGGTTTTGGTTGTTGTCTTTTGGCTGCCCATTCGGATGAAGAATAGGAGAAGAAAGGAAAGTTGAAAGTGGAGTCGAAAAGAAGATGGAGAAGTTCAGTGGACTAAGGTTGCAAAGAAATTGAGGAGATGCACGAACACCACTGGTTGCGACACCCAGCCATATCACTCAATGTCTCTAACCATCGGTTACGATCATCCCGAGGTCCCCAGCCAGGGAGCCTAACAGGACCTATGTGACCCAGTCTCCCGGTTAGGGTTTTCATACCCTCGTGCCAGGTCTTAGATTGAACACCCTTGGCTTTTTTCCACTCGGTGTCTGCTTCGGCGAACATCGCTCGCCGTGGTGACCTATCTGATGACATGCGTAACACATGTCCCAACCAACGTAATTTACCTGCACCAACCAGTCTGGCATATTACTCTGTGTGTTTCTAACCACCGGTTACAGCGGTCCCCATACAGGAACGACCTGTTTTGAGCAAGGTTCCTATTCGAGGTTTTCAAATCCTCCTCAAACTCATTAGCTTCCATCTCATGTTACAGACTTGTAAATAAATAATAACAACGAAGTCACATATTTTGTATGCGTTCTATATCTGATCGTCGTGGCTTGGTACTCTTTGCCAGGCGGAAGGAAATACTGTATCCCCATTTTACCTCAAGCAGTGACGCAGTCGCTATCACCGGTGTGCTTTGGACTATGTGGTCCAAGATTCGAGCTCCACCACCAACACCCAACTTTGGTGGTAGATAGGTCTGATGTTGTTCGGTTCAATACCACACCTGACCTAATGTGGTTCGGCACTCCAAGTTCCGGGCTTGGTTTACCGAATGACTATGGGGAAGGGAGGCTTTCTCCACATACTGTTCATCACACAAAAGGTGTGTAATAAAAACGTGTGCGTATATTAGTATTTTCAACATCAGGTTAAGTTAATCACTGCACATCAAAACGGTGTTTGAGACTTTATTTTGGTCACCAGTGCCCACCAGCAGAAATTTGAAACCATTGTATTGAACCATGAGGTGGAACAATTCTTGCAATCGCATGCACTGAGACCACACAGCTCCAACTTGCACATATTCAGTTTTCGTATTCGACAGCTACTGTAATAATCATGGGGCGATGAAGTTAATCGATACAATTATTTATTACGCAAAAGTAAACAATAATAAAGCCCCTAAAAAATAACATTAGGTTGGAAGATGAATATGCATTGGTGATTCTGGTTAAACCGCTTTCGTACCTCGTCCGTTCATAGCGTTCGTTGTACACCTTATTCAAAAATTGTCCGTTTGTGTGTATGTTCGTTCGTTTCTACATCCAGGTCGGAATGGCAAGTCGTGTGATAAACTACTACCGGCCATTGAATCCTCGTGACCGCTCCCTTTCTCCAGCACCGCACGCGTCTGGTGAACCACCCGATCTACCCTATGGCTCGGTGGTCTATGTTAGCGGGACAGACAGTCCGTTTCTCGGTGTGATTCGACCGGGAGGCTGTTTACAGGTTTGTATTTGATGTATAGTTAACTCTGGTGCATCCAATGCTGCCGAATATGTTCTGTTCTCTCTCTCTCACCTGACCTCCAAAAGTTCCAGTTTGGTCGGGGTTGGGTGTCTAGGGTTGCGACTGGTCACCCTTCCCTTCCACCTCGCCAAAAATGCTCCCATACGACCAAACGTCTCAAACAGCCTCTGACGAGGAATTCCTACTCACTGCCTTCGCGTGTTGCGGAGGTGTTCTCGCATCGAAGCGAGGGGACGAAAAGCCGACATTGGGAGTTATAACCGTGTTGGTGGATCACTGGTTGTTCACTTGAA